GTCCAAGCTTGCGTAGCTTGGGGAATTATAGGATTATTCAGCTAGTGTCGACACGTGCAACGTCGATGTTTGACGAACAAAGATTCACGTGTTGATTAGCACGAACTAATTTCAGCAAGAGCTACGATTAGTTGATACTACGAAAGCATATTCTTGGGTGAAAAGGCAGCCCATCGGAAATTAAGCCACACCCCCAGCATGAGTTTTGTTGAAGAATCCATCCAATGGGTGGGATGGAGTAGCTCACGAGTGCCGTTGTTGCGCCTTGAAAGTGCGCGGCAGTGGCGCGATGGTCTCACATGAACTTATGGCGTCTACAATTAACGTATAGACGAGTTGCGTGCGCACACCCAATGACACGCAACGTGAGTTACAGCGAAGCGGCTAATTCAGGTATGCACTGGTTAGTTGAGGAGCAGGCAATTTCGTAAAACTTTACTGCCCGACATCCTTATCTCACAGGGAGTTTTTGTTCAGAGCGTTGTCGACGGTTTTCTTTGCGTATTTCTCATTTTTAGTCAACTCTGCATCCACATCTCAATTATCGACCACTGTGACCCCCAAACTTTAACTGGGGCATTGCTTCGAGCTAGAGGTGGTCAGTGTGCGCGAGAGAAGAAAAAAGCCAAAAAACGCCCTTTGATTGGAAAATGGGATCCTTTCTTGCCTGTTGATTTGCGCATTGATGCAACTCTCATCGATGCTGCTCTCTTCAACGCTAACGCTCTCTGCTGAATGGCTAGAGACATGCGGCGTTGGTTAGCTAGTCGGTGGGCGTACCGCGTCGATAGCGTTGCGGGGAGGGTCCATGCTGGATCGCCGGTAGCATATCCTTGAAATTGCGTTCCAGTCCGCACCCTTAGGGGGCCCGCCTGTCTTTTCATCAGGTAGGCTTCCCCTCCGATCTTCCACCTTCGTGGAATGCTCAGAATCAAGTTTGAATTAGGGACAGGAGACTATTGAGTGCACAGCGTACGCAGCTCGCCTCTTTATACTTACTTAACACATTGGCGACCGTGCGACATGACGCCATACCACACTTTCATCCGGAGCATACTAGTTTTGCTCCGTTTATTCAACGTTTTCTCGTGTTCTGAAACAACCCGAAATACATTATTGGGTGCGAGAAACAATCGTTCATTATTTATTATAAAATCTTGGAAGACCTTGGTCTTGGGCCTCGGTTGTCCAGTGTTCGGCCACCTCAAGGGTCAGAGGATGATACTCGTTGTTACGGAATGCCAAGGAGTCTGTCCCAACATAGAGGACGGCGGCCAAGTGGCCGTTCCTCTCTCTGGCCATGTAGAACTCATTCGGAATGGCAAACATGCCTTGATGTCAGCCTGTGTCTGGCCCATGTTTGAAGCGGTCGGGTAGGTAGCGTTTAATGAAAGGTTGATGGGTCCTTAATCAAATTGTTTGGGTTACTAGGCTTCGCACTACTTTTACCTATGTCTAGGGAAGTCGAAGTTAAGGAAGCGAGAGCCGGTATGCTGCTGATGAGCGTTATAATAGGCAGGACGCCTAGCGAATCGAAAGGAGCAGCGCTTATCTCGATCATTTTTTTTGCAGTGCTAGCCCTTTACTACCTGTGCCAACCCTGTATACCTAGTGCCCTGGACCCGGATATCGTTGCACTTGTTGAAGCGCCGTCTGGATCGCTCAACTCTAAATCGCTAACATATTCTGTGGTCATTCTGGATCAAATCCCACTAATGCGGCAATTCTTTTTGAATCAACTACTTTGCTGGGGATTAATTCATAAAATGTGAACCTCGTTTAGTGATTTAGCTTTCGTAGATGTGGAGATAGAGTCACAATATGGTGATTAGATGAATTTCTCACTTTGCAGAAAAGACTACTACCAAGTTCTGGGTGTGGAGCGAGATGCAACTCAACGTCAGATCAAGAACGCTTACTATACACTCTCGAAAAAGGCAAGCTCGTTTATGCTTCAAATTACGGTTTTTCAGTCGTTTAAGTGTGGCAGTTACTCTTGTGCATCCTTTGTCCAGCGGTGAATAGCAGGGCTATTGAATCTTTTTATTTTCAGTATCATCCTGATGTCGCTGGACGAAATGCAGGCACAGAGTCGAAGTTTATTGAAATAACGGAGGCGTACGAGTGCCTTAAGGACCCTGAAAGGAGAAGGATCTATGATGGAGATTCGGTTGGACGAGGAGGGGCGATATACAGATCGATCATCTGATTTCAGGGTATCTAGAAAGCTTTTCCTCATGCTTTTTGTGAATGAAACTCAGCAATTATTTCAGCAGCACTTTGGACAGCGTCGAGAGAACCCCTTTTACAGTAAGCGCTACACGCAACAAGAGTACGAGCGGGTAATATCATTTACCGATAATGAGTGTCATTTGTAGTGGTAGTTGAGTGAGAGTCATTGAACAGCTTTACCTTCATTTGAGCTTATGCATAGCGATGGTTGCTGCAGATATGGGGCAGTCAAATTCAAAGAGATTGCACGAAGAAAGAGAAGGCGTATGAATGCGCAGAATGAGGCGAGAAGGAGAAAAGTTGTGGGAACAGTTCGCCAGGGAACGTGCCACGCGATGGCAGCAATTCCATTCCAGGTAAGGGGAATGTTTCACCCTTCAAACTTTCCGGGAAAAATAGGCGTTCCTGTCTAGAGTGGCGGCATGAGTCGCGCGCATTGTTGCCCTTCCATCATTGTCCAAGGCTCGGCCGGCAATTGACTCACGGCAGGGTGAATAACGGTCGAGGAAATCCTCGACAGGGGGTCGTATTTGCTCCGATGAGAGTTGGGAGGGGGTCGTAATCAAAAGGTTCATCAACGGACACAACGGTGCTGCTGCCACTTATTTGCTGTCATCATTAATTTCACAAGTGTTGTAGTTAGCCTAATGCAAATAATATCTTACAACTGTCTGGAATTAAAATTCAAATGGAAAGTGGTTGTTGGTTTGTACGTAGTGATCAGTACGACGACATAGGAAGGCAACGCACCCTAGGGAAGGTAATCCTACTTCAAATTAGCGCTCTGAGAATCTAGAGGAGAAACAGTATATTAGTGGCAAGTTCAACACGGAAGGATTCGCTTTTTTTCTTGGCATCATCAAATCTGCGGGAGCAAATGTATCACGTGGCGTCAATAAAGGATGATCAGACTATACTTTGACCACAGGAGATATTCTATTTATTAGGTTGTTCGGAAAGTAATGCAGGTTTCGCTATGCATATGGAATGTTTTTTTTTACTGAGAATTTCTTTCAGACCTGAAGCCCTATATATCATTGGCAAGCCTATTCTATCTTCTTTCCTTCAGTATATTTGAATTTCAGTATGACTTGTTATCTTGGGTTTTTATAGATTGAACTGAAGGTGTCAAGACAGTGGTTTGGGCAAGTTTTCTTCGATGTGCTGAAACTCTGAAGTAGTGCTCCATAGACCTGTCGAAATAACACTGAAGGATGGGGCCAAGGAAGCACCAATAAAAGCGCAGCACAGCCTTGGCTCCAAATTTTGGTTCAGAAGAATTCCATAGTGAAGGTGAGGGAGTCATGAGCATGCTTCTGCTGTTGACGACGGCCTTCTGAAGATTCCCGTAGAAGATGATTCAGTCTACTAAC